CTCAAATCCATGATTGGCAGCACGGCCCAGCAGTTCCTGACCTTCCTGTCCCACCGCGGCGAGGAGACAGGCAACATCCGCGGCTCCATGAAGGTGCGGGTGCCCACCGAGCGCGTGGGCACCCGTGAGCGGCTCTACGGTGGGCTTCATGGGTCTGTGGAGCGTGAGAGGGGGTGCCGTGGTGGGGTGTAGGAGGGCAGGACGCAGGCTGGCAGCATGTTTCGATCCCAGGATATTTGGAGGGTTTATAGCTATGGCTGGGCGCGAGCCTGCTCTGAGGAATGGCTGGGAAGGGGGCTGGCAGGCTCAGTGAGTCTTTCTGGGATCCAGGATGCTGGGTCCACTCTGAGTCTCTTCCTTTCCCTTCCCCCTAGAGTGGATCAGCATTGATAAGGATGAGGCAGGAGCAAAGAGCAAAGTCCCCTCTGTGTCCCGAGGCAGCCACGAGTCCAGGTGAGCTAGGGCTGTACTGGGGGTCCCATGAAAGGGTCGGGGGGCAGGGGGTGCTTCTGGCCAGCCCCGCTTCATCTCTCCTGTGTGCCCCTGGCAGGTCAGGCAGCCGCAAGCCGGCCTCTGTGGAGGCCTCCTGCCCACTGTCCAAGTTATTTGAAGAGCCAGAGAAACCACCACCAACAGGGAGGCCCCCAGCTCCACCCCGAGCAGCTGCCCGGGAGGAGCCCTTGACCCCCAGGTGAGAGGAGGAACCAGTGTCCTCTAGCCTATCCATTGTGTGCCTGACTCTCCAGGCCGGCCCGGGGATTGTCTGCTTGGATGCCCTGCCACCCTGTGGCTGCATGCGCAGTGGCTCTGTGCCTTAGGCCGCTGTGGCCAGTCAGGCCTCCCCCAGGTATGGCTCTCTGAGTCAAAGGGAGCGTGGTCAGCCTTTCCTGTCAATTCTGCCCTAATAAGTGGATATAGAAGTGGTTTTTAGAACAGCAGCTCCCTCCATGTAGCACACCCAGTGTGCTCCTTCTGTTACGGCTCAGCACAGGGTCTCCTTGGTTGTCTCTGTCCTAAACAGCCTCCACTGGGAATGGGTTGGTGGTCACATGAATTTGGGAAATGCTTGTTGCTGGATTCTTTTCTCAGATATTCCTGGTGCGTACTAGTATTAGCGAAAGCTCCAAGCATGTAGACAGGAAGTAAGCCTCTTCAACTCTGTTCAATTTAGTTTCCCAAACCTAATGGACCAGGAAACTTCTTTCCCACACAGTAACTATTAATGTCCTGGGCAACTGGTGTTCTGTGTATCATACCTTGGGAAAGCCAGGCGTACTTTCTGTTGCTGTTTGGTTTTTGCGTAAGCTTAAATAAAAGCCCCTAGGTACCGACTGGTATTTCTTCACTCATCTTCAGCTGTTATCAGTCACCTTGTGTCTTAGTGACTTTCCTGTCATTGCTGAGACAAAATACCTGTACCCAAAGTTAAGGGAGGAAAGGTTTATTTAGCTCACAGTTTGTAGAGGTTTCAGTTCATAATCAACTGACTCTTAATGGGACAACTATTCATCATGGGGGAAGACAGCAAAAGCAACAAGAGAGAGTGAGACAACCCTCTTTCTGTCCCTTTTATTGTACCCAGTCCTCTGGGATTAGGGCGGTGCCAATCCAGTCAGTGGACTGATCAGCAATCACCCACCTTTAATCCCAGCACCCTTAATCCCATCATTGAACCATGAATCAATCACAGACTCTCCATTCAGCCACCTCCAAAAAAGCCCATCTAAAACTGAGGTGAGGGGCTGGGGATATAGCACAAGGTCGTGAGTTCGATTCCCGGTACCAGAAAAAAAAAACAAAAAACTGAGGGGACACTAGACACAAACTGTAACACCTTGGTTTCATCTTTGGGCTTGAATAAAACCATCTCAGATCACTAAGATTCTGCAGTAGACTGACAGATGTTTTGGAAAGCTTTCCAAATCTCACTTGTCACTCTTACCAGAGGCCTTTCTTGCTCTGACCTCTGGCACCTCTGTTTTTACCCATTTAAGTTTGGGTTTATGCAAAGTCATAAAAGATCACAGAAGCCAGTCAAGTGATGAAAGGGAGTTAAGGTTATGCCTTCAATTCCCCCTGCTTTATTTTAATTTACGTTTTGTTTGTCTGCTTTTTGAGACAGGGTTTTGGTGTATAGTTCAGGCTAACCTTAAGCTTCCTATGTAGTCCAGGCTGGCCTCAAACTTGAGGTGATTCTCCTGCTTCTGCCTCCTGGGTGCTGTGATTATCAGCATGCACCACCTCAATCACCTGCCCCCCCCTTAGAGATAATGAAATCGAGGGTGGGAGAGGATGAGTGTGGTGTTCAAGATCATATGCAAGTCTAGGCCCAAGCCCCTCGCCCCTGACTCATCCAGCTCCCCTGCACCCATTGTGTTCACCTTGAGTGTCAGGGTCCTAACTTAGTCATCCTCCTCCCAAATCTAGGTTGAAGCCAGAGGGGGCTCCTGAGCCAGAAGGGGTGGCACCCCCTCCACCCAAGAACAGTTTCAATAATCCTGCCTACTACGTCCTTGAAGGGGTGCCACACCAGCTGCTGCCCCTGGAGCCTCCTTCGCCTGCCAGGGCGCCTGTCCCACCTGCCACGAAGAACAAAGTGGCTATCACAGTGCCTGCTCCACAGCTTGGACGCCATCGGCCCCCTCGTGTGGGAGAGGGGAGCTCATCAGATGAGGACTCTGGGGGCACACTGCCCCCTCCAGATTTTCCTCCCCCACCACTGCCGGACTCAGCCATCTTCCTGCCCCCCAGCCTGGATCCCTTGTCGGTACCAGCAGTCAGGGGCCGTAGTGGGGGTGAGGCTCGTGGCCCACCACCTCCTAAGGCCCATCCGAGGCCTCCGCTACCTCCAGGTCCTTCATCTGCCAGCACTTTCCTAGGGGAGGTAGCAAGTGGGGATGACCGGTCTTGCTCAGTGCTGCAGATGGCCAAGACACTAAGTGAGGTGGATTACGCTCCCGCTGGGCCTGGACCTGGACCCAGTTGCTCAGTGCTCCTCCCGGGCGCGCTGGAGTTGCAGCCACCCCGAGGGCTGCCCTCAGACTATGGCCGGCCCCTCAGCTTTCCTCCGCCCCGGATCCGAGAGAGCATCCAGGAGGACTTGGCAGAAGAGGTGTGTGCATCCGAGCGTGCTTCCTCACGGTATCCTTTCAGCCTGCCACTTGGCATCTGCCCTGAGCTGAGCAAGGGAGAGGGGGGCTGGCAGGGACACAGGCATCAGCCCTGGGCCTTCCTCCCTGTCCCTCGGCATGAGTAGAATGGCTCTGTGCTCTTCCTAACACCTAACTTGCCCTATTTCCCCAGGCTCCGTGCCCGCAGGGCGGGCGGGCTGGTGGCGCCCTGGGCGAGGCGGGCATGGGTGCCTGGCTGCGGGCCATCGGCTTGGAGCGCTATGAGGAGGGCCTGGTGCACAATGGCTGGGATGATCTGGAGTTTCTCAGGTGGGGGGAGGCTGGAGGCGGATGGGGTGGTGGCCTCAGGGGCGGAGCTCCAGGCCCTTCGGCACCCACTAGAGCCCATCTTCCTGCATCTCTCACAGTGACATCACTGAGGAGGACCTGGAAGAGGCCGGGGTGCAGGATCCGGCTCACAAGCGCCTCCTTCTGGACACCCTGCACCTCAGCAAATAACAGTGGAAGCTCCACCAAGCTTTGAACTCAGAGCCCCTCCCCGTCTAGGAAGGCCCAGGGCAGCCCTGTTGTTGAAAAGTTCTAAGGAGTGGAGTAGTACTTCTATTTATTGGGGATCTGCGATCCCCACGGTCCAGTCATTTGGCATGCTCTCATAGGACACCCTGCCCTCCCTCCCCATCCTTTAGACCTGGGGCTGAGGACGTGGGTAGCCTGCTGCAGTGAACAAGTAAAGTACCGTTGCTCACTGGCGCAGACTTTGTCTTGACCCCTCTCCCCAGCCCTGGGGGTACATGTGGGGTAGTTGGGTATATCTAGGCCTCCCATTTTCACCGATGTTCCTGCTACCCTTACTCGGGTCTGCACTACAGGGAAGGGATCTTTTAGGACCTCCTCCAAGTCCTGCTCCCGGGATATCCGTCCGGAAATGAAGGAAGAGCCCAAGGACCGGGCTGGGGTTTATTTAAGCTTTTCCGTGTGGGTTTGGGGAGGGAGAACGCCTTAATGTTGTTGGGGCGGGGGACAGATCTCGCCATAAAGTGCGTTTGCTTATTTCTCGCTGTCTCCTTGTCTGTACGGCCTGCGCTGGGAGTGCGTTCCGGTGCGGAGCGGGAGGGTCCCTGGCTGATCGCGACTAAGGAGACACGGTTCTTGCAAGCAGCCCGTCCCTGTCCTGGGCACGCAAGGGTTGCTGGCGTTTATGTCTTCAATAAATTAAGTTTTATTTGGGTTGAGCAAAATCACCTCAATAAATTACAAGTTTTCAAAGAAAAGACAAAAAAAAAACCAGGAAAACGGAAATCCCCCATTCGTTTCCGCAGCACCTCTCCGCCGCTAACAAGTCCACCCTCTGTACTAGGGGCGGGAAGATTCAGGAGGGGAGGCTGGGCGGTGGGGCCCCTCCGGCTGCTGATTATCCCGGCGAAAACGAGCCCTGGCGCCTAGTGGGGGCAGTGTCGGTGGGCTGGGGGTGGGGCAGCGGACGCTCACCCTCGGTCACCAAGGTTAGGAGCGATCCAGCCAGCTGCGAAGTCCCAGGAGAGCACCGCGTCGCTCCGTAGGGACCCGTGTGTTTGGGCACTGTGTTAGGGACAGGCGTTACTTGATCCCGGTTCCAAAGAAAGCGAAGCTAGCAGGGTCTCCGGCTCTCCGGGTGAAAAGGACTCCGCTCTGCTGGCTACGGGTGGGAGGACGAGAGTGGCCTGGCTTGGTTTCCAAAGCTGGGGCGGGCACACCTAGGGGGTCAGAAACTGGGGAGTGGGGGCAGATAGGGACTCTGAGGCAGGCGGCCGTGATAGGGAGGGTTTCTGTCGGGTCGTGAGGGACCAGGGGTGTCTCTGGGGGCAGGCTGGGGCCTCCGGAGGCCGGGGGCTAGAAGAGATTGGTCTTCAGCGCAGGGCCAGGCTTCCGGTGAAAGGAGGACAGAACTCCGGAGAAGGGCCCTGGCCCCGGCTCCGCCGGCTGCCAGGCCTT